CATAGGAGCATTTTACATCTACGCTATGCAATAGAAGCAGTACATATTGGATCTATCATGCCTATTTAATTGGAGAAACTCCTAGCTGTAGAAGGCTGCTGTAAGCACACAGAGGCACCTAATATTTTGAGTATGCCCATGGGCAGATGAAGAAATTGCTTCTCTGTAAAGCTTCATTTCACTTTAGGATTTTGGAAGTGTTCCTGGTTTATTTGCCATGTCTACTGACTCACAACCTCCTTACTTAGGTCCCTGTCCCTTCCTCAACTTTCCCAGTTCCCTTTCTGAACTTTCTGTCTGCAGTGCTGGCCTCTTTCTTCCTCTGCACATTCCTGGGAGGGCCCAATCCCAATCTCCTAATTAAATCCTAGTGCTCTCCCACCCAAAGCGTATTTCCCCAAATTCTGACCAATCGCTATCTCTTGGTTTTGCACAGCCAGCTCACTTTCAGATGAGTTATAGACTACCCTACACATATACATGCAAGATTACCTACTACTAAGTGATATTGCAAGGCCTTTCATTATGTACAGGTATATATCTATGTAAGATGTTAAGTCACGTGCCATTATACTTGCTGTACATTTTTACTAATCCTTGTAACCGTCTTTTCTTTCTGACTTTAACTGGTAGCATCTGTACATCAGAAAATGCAGCGCTTAGTGCACTGCCATGTAACTAGATTCCAACAGGTAGTTACTGGAAGTCTACTAATAATCTCAGCTTTCTTGTGGTTTAATCAAGGAGTGCAACTTGTGGTGTAAATCAAATAGAGGACCATATAATTTGCACAATCTATTATTTTCCATGACTAGATTTTAATTGGAGATATAAAGAAACATTTGAATACTGGGATAATTTTCCATTCTCAATTAACCTTTGTTCAGTGAGGTATATAGATAGTATTAGCAGATCAATGAAACCACAAACTCGTTCAAAACTATAAAAAAGAACCCCAAATCAAAAGTGAAAAGAGGCTGAAAACTGGCCTCCAAAGTCTGCCTTCAGGTAGGCTCTGACTAGAAGGAACTAAAATTGTTTTCTGAGATTAAAAGAGCAGCAGATAGACAGTGTAATAATGGATATATGTCATCATTGCAACAAAGCTTCATTCTTGCTTTAGATGTTATTCATAAATTATTTTTAGATGGTCTATAAAACATTTAACTAAGTACAATAATAATTATGATATATATAGACCTATGTGAAGGGTTTATTGTTGTCTTTTCAATATGATTTTAATAACCCATACCAGTTACCAAAACCACAGAGACATTCTTACAGTCAGAGAAAGAATTCATAATTATGGTTTTTAATCTTAAGTTTACACTTCAGTTTGGATTTATCTTTTCAGGTTGTGAACTTAAGCGCCATATTCGTCATCTCTCTTGTTTTTACTGCCTTGTTAAATGCATTTATTTTGCATGCATGTTGCAGTGTTCTTTCAGATATCAAAATTGACAAAAGATTAGCACCAACAGTAGCACTTGTCTGGTATCTTTTGCATGTCGCAAAAGTCAACCTTGATCCAATCCTGATTTCTGAGATCAGGGAACTCAGTAAGTTCAGAGGATAAGTATTTAACCATGAGAACATTTAGCACCTTCACATCTGTGAAATTTTTTTCATAGGACCTTCCGATCCCATTTTAGCTATTGCCACAGGGCATTAAACCCCAACATCTTCGGTTTAAAGTCTGATACAGAGATTTTTATCTTCCTACTATCTTAAATTCTGAAAGTTCTGGAATATGTTTCTAAAGCAAATTTGAAATGGATTGAGGAACAAGGAGCAGCAGAATGATAGTTTCTTAGCAGGTATGTGTTGCCCGGAGGGCAAGCTGGACCAAATAAAGTTTTTTTTTAAAGTAGCATTCATGACCCAATGCCAAACCTGGGCAGTACGTATTACAACTGGCAAGCCCGGAGATGAAGAAAGCAGGGATCCCTATAGTCATGTTTTCATCTAAAAGGACAAAAAGTAATTTCCTATGTGAAGGAAAAGGGAAGAGACTTTATTAAAAGTTGTTTCTATTTGAACTGGAGGCCTATGCACTATCTTTATAATTGGAAGCAAAATGCTTGCAATTCATTTCCACTTTTTTCTTTTCAGCATGTGCACTGTAGTAATGCTGTGGACAACCATCTATCAACTAGGAAGCAGGAACCAATGCATGGGTTAATGTAAACACGGCAGGTTTAAATTTTAAAGGATGGTTTACAGCATGTATTTTGCACATTTTCATGTCGTCCTGACACGTTAACACATTTCTTCAAATACAATCTCACCAAAGAAATGCAAAAATCACCAGAATTTTAGGTGAACAATTTCTATATATCATTAAGAACTTGCCTGGGATTGGATTTGCAAAGCCCTGGGCATGCACATTTGGAAGAAGATAAAGGACGAAGTGCCAGTCAAACGAAATCTTCCATAAAAGTAAACCAGTTCAATTTGAGAGCCATATTAGTTATGCTTGGTTTAAACAGAAGTGGGTTGGATCATTCAAGGGATCAGAGATTTAGGCAAAGAATCCTGACTTGCATATGCAGATCAAGATGGAGTCCTTTCATTAAAAAACATGCAGTTGTACTTGTGTAGCAAGACATAAAACTGTGCAATTAAATAAAACTCCAGTTAAAGCGTTGTGGGGAAAAAAGTTATTCTATAATTAGAAAGTGTGAGGATATGAATGTTATGAGCAGTAATTAAAGAGTAACTGCATTATTCTCTAAACTTACAGCTAGTGCCTTATTTAAACTGCTTTTCATTTATTCTAAATACAAAACTTTGTAAAGATCTGAACTGAAGCACCACTTAAAAACACACTTACAGCAAGTGATTTATTTTTTCAGGGCCAAGAGAAATACATGCCGATGCCTGGACCATGAGTAGCTCCAGCTTTCTGGAACCAAAACCTCAGGTATGTATTTTTCTACTGTTACTAACTGTCAGAAACAATAAGTTAGCAAGGAAAAAGAAAAATTAAAACCAGTGTGGATCTGAAAGTGAAAGTTGCTATTGCACATAAAAGACCCAGACTGTTTACAAAAACATTTCTACTTGCATCCTACTTTGCTGAGTAAAACACAGATTAACTTTTATCCTTGATTGCTTTCTTTATAATACATGACAGATAAGCCTTTTGAATACCAGAAATTTTTTTCATTGCTATCATTCTGAATTCAGACTGTCGAATGGATCAGAGAACACACTGATATAAATCCAGCAAATATACTGGCAAAAACCACAACTGGGATAAATCACTTCAGTCCCCACTTCTTGTCAAAATGGTGGTCATGGGCTGACAAGATACAAGTCAAACTGGAAATAGCTGTAATCATAGTTTACAAAGGTTAACTTAATGAAAGCCACTTCTTTCTGTATCTACTGCAGGCATCCAGCTGTTGAAAGCTCTAAGCACCATACCTTTCATATCGTAAAGGTATATGTATTGAGCCTTTTGCTGAACTGGAAAAATTAGGCTGAGCCAGAGAATATGGGGAACAGCCCAATATGCTGAAATGGAAATAATGAGAAGAAAAAAATTGATCAACCTTGGACTTTGAATGAAAATGGTTAAAAAAAAGAATGCAAGGCGAGCAACAAATGTGATTAATCCAAGTGAGCACCGAGAAGGAAGTTGAGGATTTTAAGGAAGGAAATGACTCATTCTTTGTGTTTGTGTATAGGAAAGACTGAGTAATACAAGGTTGTCTGCTGTCATACACCTTTATGCTCATTTTGGATCATTCCAGTGAAAAACCCCAAATTACTTATGTCCCCCTCACCACAAGGTGGCACATATGTACTCCCTAGGATTTTCAACTGCCTCTACCATTTACTTCATTTTTTAAGTAGTAACTGTTATCCATTTCTACAGACAGGAAGGAGCTGGGGTGGGATAAAGGCAGGGAAATATAATGCAGTTTATCTTATCAAGTATGGACAACTAAAGGTAAGTAAACTATTCTTAATATGTGGATTAATTCCAAACTTTGCTTGTTACTATTATTTACTAAAAGGTCTGAGGTATATTCACAGTGTGAAATTAAACAGGATAAGGAGTTACTGAAAACTTAGCTTCAGTATGTTTTACAAACACATTCACTAGAAACTCAACAGAATTTAAGGGTGAAATGGAACCTGGACTTTGGATAGCAGAATGGTGCCAAAGATGGAAATAAGCATGCCGAAGTAGAAAACCAGACATACCTACCCATTATTTTGATTCTCTGTATTTTAAGCCTGCTGGTCACCCATTGGTTGGTATGCAGTGTAAGGGGTTTTTTTGCATTGCTGCCAGTTTTCATTCTCGTGTTGTGAGTTTCAAGAACTAATAACTACGTATGCTAAGGAAGGCTGTTCCCTAATAGTAATTTTTCCTTCGTGCTGATGAAGGTTGTGTTTAAATGCCAGACTTTGAAGCATCCAAATATACATTCTCATTTTCACCTAGTGGCTGATCAAATAAAAATCTCAGTGATCTTCTGTGCAGTTGTTTCTCTTTTCAAGTCCATGATATAAAACTATACTGCATGATCTATAACGGCCACAGCACACACTTCTCCATGGTACATAATGGACCCACATGTTTCATATATCCATCAGAAAGGCACTATGCAGACTATGAATCCACAAAACTGCAGAAGAGATTTGACAGCAAACTGAGATAAGCATGTGAGTACAAAAGAGAGAAGGAGGAATTTTTTAAGGACAGAAAAATACTGACCTAAATCAAAGCACAGAAACACTAGCTAGCATGCGAAGCAGTTTTATCCACACACCACAGAATATATGTTTTTAGAAAGTAGATTCTTGGAGATTTAAAGTATAAACTATGTACATAGCTCCCTCTGATGACCATTGGACACGATACAATGCAAGTCTCCTTTTATTTCTGTTCGTGCATTCAACTGACAGCTGACTGGTTAAATTCTAATTGCTTCCAAGTGAGGTCAGCAAAGGTATTTATCGAAAAGGACTGAACAACAGGCTCAACACACACATGCATGCGCACGCATAAGCACATACACCCCATCTCTCCAGCGTGTTGATTTATGGAAACAATTATAATTCTGGTGGAGTCTTTCTGAGCTGAGAAAGTTTGTAGCTACAGTAGAGTGTCTCATGTTGCAAAAAGCAGACAACAGAAATGGAATACTGGGGTATCCAGCTCTTATCAACAGAAACAAGTAAGTTGAATGTTCTTGTAAAGGACAGTTAACAGTTTCTAATAGCTAATAACCTTTCTCTTAATTTATATATGCTAGATACTTAAAAAAGCATTAAGAGAACTATTTCTATTAATAATCTGAAAAGGGTAGGAATAAAAATACAGAGCTAAGACTATGAGGTCTGTTTTGAAATTTGAACGGGAAGAAAAGTTATCCGATAGATTGTGCTTATAGTAAATGTATAGGTATGAAGTAATCAGCAGAATTTTACTATGTATGAGAAAGCAGTCAACTGAATCAATAGGGGATTTTTGGAAGGACTTAAAACTGAAGACAGAACTATGTTTACAACCAGTTTAAATGTCTGTTTATGTAAAAAGTTGTGTGAGAGATATCTATTGTATATACATTTGCATATTTTAAAAAAGTCAGCTCAGCATGTCATACATTTATGTACTTTTCAGTAGTATAATGTATCCTTGCATGTTTGTAACAATTGAGTGCAAAGACTTATACATGCACCTTTTCTCACAGATCTTTTACTTTCAGTGCAAGCAGCAAATTCAAGTAGTACAGAAGGTCACGACAACAAAGGTTTTTATAACTTGTGTCTTTAAAGGATATTCTGACTGAAGAGGTATTTAAGAAGCTCTTCTGTTTCGCCATTAACTATTAAGGAATAACGATCAGAATTCTAGAAGAGGGAACAAATCTCATTTAAATGAATCTGTAACTCGTAAAGACAGAAGGCAGGTCGGTGACCTAAGAGCAACAGCCTACTTGAGATTTAATTTTCATTATGTTGTTCATGAACACCCAGAACACTGCACTATAATGCACAAATGGATACTGACATGGATCCTGCCAATTTTGCTCTACAGATCATACTTTTACATTATCTTTCTAATGGGCACTATATCTTTAGCTTGCAATGACATGACTCCAGAGCAAATGGCTACAAATGTGAACTGTTCCAGCCCTGAGCGACATACCAGAAGCTATGATTATATGGAAGGGGGGGATGTAAGAGTGAGAAGACTTTTCTGTCGAACTCAGTGGTATATGAGGATTGATAAGCGAGGCAAAGTAAAAGGGACAAGAGAAGCAAACAACAACTACAGTAAGTAATATTTTTGATATTTTAAGTTTTTAGAAATTTACACATTGTTCCCTATTCCTTGATTTATTGTAATTTCAAAAGAATTTTGTATAGTGTACTGACCATTGTATAAGACAAGTTTTCCAATTAATCCTACAGCAGGACATTTGTTATTGATTTTGAAATGCGTCATTTTAAATACTACATTGTAGATCTGCTAATGTATTAGTTACAGCTGGTAACTATTAGCAAACAGAGAGCCTATTTTAACAAGTGAATTAAGGTTGTAAGTATGAAAATGTATAACCACAAACTCTGCTCATAAAATACTTATGAAACATTAAACCACATTTATATAGTTCACAAACTACCTAAGAGTTTGGTGTATTTGAGTTAACAATTAAAACATATGCAATACTAGAAAGTTCAATGGAAAGAATTATGTAAACTCTCTTGCAAAATCTTTTAGATAGTTTGCCAAGCCAGGAACAAAATCTATTATAGTTTCTGCAGTTCATTATTACAATGATCATGATGCTGAAAAAATATTCTCTCCCATTTCTTCCAAAAACATGACTCATCTAGAGAGAATGGACATACAATATTTTGTAAAGCTGTACCAAATACAGTTCTTGAACAAGCAAAAGAATTGTACTAATCTGTGTTTTTCACACAAATACCTCTAGATCTTCCACTTACACTTGAAAGCATCAATTTTACAGTCACTATTTTTGACTTTCATGTTATTACAATATATTTGTTTAATTAGAGAAACATGACATCTACTTGAAAAGACATAGGATTATATTGCATGTTTCAAAACAAGATTGTAAGGAAAAGGGGCCAGAGAGATGCTGGTCTAGTGTTTATAGTCAACTGAAAGGACAAATATATTTCCAAGAATGCTATTAAATACAGTTTTAATGTAGGTTGTATGTATTATGCTTTGTATAACAGCAGCAGCAAAAGAAATCAATAAATCAACTTCAAGAACTGTTAGTGTGATTCAGTTTTCAACTGAAGCTGAGTTCTTATTTTCTATAAGAACAGTACTTTTGCATGCTAAGTGCCTGGCTAGTGGGCTTCATAATTTATTTCTTTACTTCATGACTACATTAAGTGCTTGGCAACTTGCTAAAATTTCATTGACTAATGTTACTGTTTCTTTTAAGATTTGTTTCCATATGTCTCCTTTCTTCCTACACTATTACATAGTGAATAACCATATTCCTCTGAAAGACAACACATGGCCAGCAGCCAAATAAATTATTTGGTCCATATTCAAGATGACTCCCATTGACTTTCAGGAGGACATTGCTACAATAGAGATCCATAGGGCTAATTTTGAAATGAAATGTTGCTCCCATTAAAAAAAAAACAAAAAAAAAACAAAAACAAAAAGTGGAAAAAATGTTACTGACTGTTGAAATAGTTTCTTCTAAATTTTTGCAGATAAGTGAATATTCACAGTAACAATTTTTTTCTGTTATTATTTACAAACACTTTAAAGAGATTATGACAGCATATTGAGCTGAATAATTATATAAATTTGCTTTTTTTAGTTCCATGATGCTTAAGTAAAAACTTTGTTAGTAATGTAGCATTATTTCAAATTCAAGTAAAGGTTCTCAGTTCTCTGCAGGATCCCATGCTGCTGAAGCACACTAATGACATCCTGAAACATTCTGTAGTGAAACCATTAGAAGATATCAGATCATCTTGTGCTAAAGGCAATCCATTTTCTTATAGTTTTCTGAATGGTTTGTGAAGATTTAGCGATGGTAACTAACTATTACAAATTACAGAAGGGGAACCTTGAGTTGTTAAACTCTTACATTTGTGTTGCAATGAAAAAAAAATTGAATTCTTTTTCTGGTAAATGCAACAAGTATGAGGAGAAAAAACAACGAATACTTGAGTGTTTTATCTGGTATGTGCACTATGATGAACTGTCTCCAATAAACCTAAAGTTTGTGGGAAGTCTCCCACCATCTTAAGTCTCTTGCTCTACTTTATCTGTTGTACACTAGGAAATAAAATCCAAATGCTTTTGTTGGACAAGTATAATAGGAAAACATAGACAAAGAGGACTGGATTTTCCAAGAAACTAAAAAAAGAATATGTAAGAAGGCTTTTTGAAGATATGTTTATGGCTTTCTACTATAATACCCATAAAGAAAATTACATGATATGAGGGGAAAAAAACAAAACTAAAAAACCCTACCTGGATCAATATACTTTCCCTAAGCAAAATTTTTAACATTAAAGACTAAACAGGCTATTTTTATCCAGGGTCTCTGAAAAGCATAGTTTAAAAATCATACCCATTACAAAGATGTATTAATCTGGGTGTGCAAATATTCTTGTTCCATGATTTCCAGTTCTGAAAGTTAGTAAGAGGTAGATCAGACCTGTTTCTCTGGATGAAATCCCAGAACAGTTGCAGTCAAATTAATCAATGGGTATGAAAAGTGTTTCTCTGAGAAGTATCTTCTTATTTTATCATTTTCCACTTACATAATAAAGAAAAGGCATCCTTTTCCCTTTTGAATCACTAACATGTGAAAACATATTTTCATATTTTTAACTATAATTTCACTTCATGAAGGAAGCTGCACTGACAGTTTTGCAGAGTCAATTACTTGTTTTCAGCCCATGAATTGTGAAGCATGAATAATGTGAAGAGCAATAGTCACGTTGACAAACATCTGTAGAATGGTAACTTCATCATAACTTTGGCAAATGCCAAAACTCACCAAGCTTCTCTCATCAGTTGAGACTATAAATGCAGGATTTTCCAAGGCAGTGAGGAATCAAGGTCTGTGTATTTCAAACTTCTCTAGTAAGTTACAGAATAAAATATATATACACATCCTATAAAAGTAACAGCAAAAGTAATGAAACTGTTAAAATTTCTTAAGATTTTAATTCAAAAGCCACTGTATTAAATGTATGTGGATTGAAATTCCATGACAAAATTAAATACTGAACCAAATCCTCACTCTTCAATTGTAATTAATCTGTATTTACAATTCACTTGTTCCAAAACACATTAGAAGTTAACTGCTTAGTCCAAGAAATACACGTGTACTGTTTCAGTGACAGCAAATTGTTGAATCCCGTTTACAACAGTGATGACCTTGTTAGGTATCCAAAGTATACTATTCTGTGCACATTTCAGAAAGTAGTAGAGCCTTCTGGTGGACATAAAGCTGATTCCTCTGATTTGCTTAGTTTACCCTTGAGTTCAGTGTTATCCACTAAACAGAGGAAATCATTTTGCACCTGACAGCTTTGCTTTCATTCTGAATACTAAAAGGCAGAGTGAGAACCGAGAGTCACATACTGAAAAATTAAAGCAAGAATTAGGAAACAGCCAAGAGATGAGGTCACACAGAAAAATGTGTCATTATTCATTAAAAAAAAATTCTTTGACAATCACTTATTATATGTTGTCCAAACATAAATTATTTGCTTTTTATTAAAAAATAAATTTTGTATCTTGTTCATATAAAATAATCTAAGTGGGCACACAAGACAGACTTTTTGAATTCATGACTGTAAAAAGTGAGAGTGATTGACCAAATCTTGGAGATAATATGGCAATTTGTTAACTCTTATCTTTGATAGAAAATAAATCTCTCCTTATTACTGCTTACTCCTTTCATTTCAGTTTGTGTTTCTGACTTTTGCCAGATTTTATTTAATTTTGTTCAGAAAAAAAGGTGGCAAAAATCAGAGTCTATTTTGACTCTATCCAAGAGGATTTATACTACGACTGGATGATGCTTTAGGACTTTCCACGCTCTGTTGCCTTTGGAATCTTATTTTAAAGACTTCAAAGGGTCTGTTAGTTACTAGAAAAGCCTTCCCGGAACCTGAATCCTAAGATGTCTGATCCTATCATATTCCATGTGTGCTCTAAACCCAGAAAGTGACTATTTCCTCCTCTTTTCAGTGCATAAAGCCAACCAAAAAAAAAGTAACCAAAAAAAGAGAAAAGATAGTCTAGTGAGATATTGACATAAAATGGCTGAAATCTTGATTACAATTTTTATCTTGGAAAACTACTTCTATTTTGATCAAAATCCAACAAGTCATAGTTTTCAGCAATATCAAATGAACTCTAACTCAGTTTTGTTCAAACCTAAACCCTAACTGATGACAAAAATACACTTTATACTCATCTTAGTGGTTAAATACCCAAGCTTGCTTAGAAATCAAAATTATTTCCAAGAGCATTTTATATATGCCTCCAGGTAAAACAAATGTTGGAATATGTATGCTGTGCCACTATATAAATCCTATTTCTGTTGCTTAATTTTATATTATATAGAAGAGCAAGAAGATTCAGTACCTGAAAATCAGATATTTCAAATCCCAGCTTTTCACCATCAACTGCTGATGAAGATGGGGTTTAGCAAAGATGCAGATGAAGATGGGGTTTAGCAAAGATGCAGATAACAGAAGCAGCTGAGTTATGCCTGTCTTACAGCTTCTTTTGACTTTTTTGATGAGTACCTTTTGAGGGAAGTGAGGAGAATAAAGGAAGGAGTAAAGTCTTGAACTAATGCAACAAGATTCTTCAGATCTTATGGATCAACATCTAGATCAGCGCTCAACTGACACAGTATGACAATGGTGCCACAAAACATAATTAAAACTGTTCACCACTTCTGAATTTACCTCTTGAACCTTTATCGCCTTGTCTATTCCATGGTATTTACCAGCTGAAAAATATGTGTAAAGCCAGAATGATAGCAGTTTATACTCACTTTCTTCTGACTCTGAATACAAAGTGATTGCATAAACTCTGTGAGGGGAGAATCAAACCTCTGGGCTGAGGCACAGGCAGCAGCTTCAAAAGCTAACATGCACCAACAGGACTGTGTCTGCCTGTGCCTGGGGTATGAGCTAAAAATCAATATGAGCAGTGAGAAACATCTAAGCTGAATCTATACACATTGTGCTCAAACTGATTCAAATGACCTTGATACGCCTTTGTAATTCAGCTGTAACTT